AACAATCCTAAAATGGATTCAAACCTTTACAGGTGAACTTAATGTGACCCAAATGTGTCCCAAATCCTACCTGCAACATTTAGTTTTGACCACCAGGGAGAATATCACTATTTTGTTTTTTTTGTTAATCTCCAAATAATTACAAAATAAAAATAAAATAGAACATCAGGTCCACAAGATAGTGCTTAGGTTAACATATCAAAAACAGCGAGAACACTTTTGTGGGCAATACAAGTACTGAACACTGAACTTGCTTCAGACAATAAAAAATAAATAAAACAGATCCTTAAATCACAGTGCTGTAAGTTAGCACTTCAGAAATAACACTGTTCATTAGTGATGGGCCCTGAAACACCGATGCGTCGATGCACATGCCGAGCTCACAGAGCAATCCCTGCGTCAGTGCGTGTACTGCTTCAAGACGATCACGGGACCAATACATGAACTGCATCGACTCAGTCCAGGGGGCGTTGACGCCGCAAAAGCCCGCCAAACTGTGTTTATAAGGAAGTGCGTCCAACGTGAGTACGTGCTCGCGCTCACGCGCGCACAGCAGAGAGCAGCGGACTATCGACTGCTAAGGCTTCACTCGAGTGGCGCTGCTACAGTACGTGTATATTATGGACCAGCTCCCGGAGAAATGCAAATTGTCCGCCGTGTAGAGCCATTTTGATCTCCTTTTGGAGAATAATCTCTTTGTCTCACCAAGTGCCTCTCGGATTTTTGACATGTCTTATTCCATTCTAATTCAAATTAATTTCAAGGTAACTTCTTAGTTTACATTCACATATTTTATTGCAGGTGAAATGTCGACTTTGCCATACAGAAATATATACCATCAAAAGCACCTCTGCAACTACATCTGGCATGTTACTCATCATTATTAGTTTGTTTTTTGGAAACTGTTCTAAATGCCAATTTTGTTAGGTTTAGTTTTTTTAGATGACCTCTGGCAACATTTGGATGATGAGGTAGGGAGAATGGGAAGAAGTCCAACAGCAGATGCTATATCTGAGGTCTAGCGATACATGGCAGAGGGGAATATTGCACGCAGTCAAGACCCGCTGTTATATTGGAGGAACCAACACACTGCTTTTCCAAACCTCTCCCACCTCGCAAAGGAGTTCCTCTGTACACTGGCATCATCAGTGCCATGTCAGATTGTGTTCTCCACAGTAGGGGGAATAGCATGCAAGAAACGCAACAGACTCAAATTCATTTTTTCTGAATAAAGATTTTTGAAGACAAAGCTCACAAGCATCCTCATTCACATAATTTTCACATTGTTCAAACATAATGAATAATACAATATGAATGCATCGATGTCAATGATATTGGATACACTTCGTCATCAAATCACTCAATTCAGTCTGTCAAGTGGGTTGCCTGCAGGGATTTTGAAAGTCCAGCAGGTGTCAGTGGTCAGCGACACAGTATCAACACAATGTGTCATTGTGTTAACACGCTTCATGGCGCCTCATGGACCCATCACTACTGTTCATCATTACAAAATAAAGTGCTGAGATAAACATCAACCACTTCTCATAGGCCACAGAGGACACAGCAGCTATGCTGACTTCATCCCTCGTACACGGGGTGTTCTCTTCGAGTTTAGTTTGGTGAAGAGCTTTGCTATGGCTAGCTAAATTGCTAAGGCTTTCGGTGCTAACGTTAGCTGTGGATGCACTCGCGATTGGGTGCTTTGCATTAATGTGGGTAGCTAAACTTGGGCTGCTTCAGTGGTCAGCAAACTCCTTACAAATTAGTCACAACACTCTACTTTTATCAATAGTGTTGTCAGGGCATTTTTGAAAAGTAAATTTTCGATTCATTGTGCTGAGAACTCTCACATGCTCCTCCATTTTCACCTCCCCTCTCCTCACCGCTCCTTACTTAGCCCGCCCAACTTCCTAGGATTTTTACTTGTTCATCTTCAATTGTGTGGTTTGTTTATTTTAAGTGTGCGTATACTGCACTTTTGTTATCATTGGTTTTCCATTTGTGTTGATAGTCTTTTCTTGAGTGTTTGTTTGGTTTCTCCGATGTAATGTTCCTTGCACTCACTTTCTTGGCAACGGATGGAATAAATCAGATTGCATTTTTGGGTGTTGGGAACCCGGTGTACTAGTACACCCCAAAGACCGGGAAAAAATCCTAGGAACAGAAAAGAGATGGTTTGAAAGGGGAGTAAAGGAAGCGATTTTTGTTAAAAAATTTTCACCCTCTCTGAACCGTGAAGGAGGTATCAGATTTAACCTGTCTCCTATTTACAATAACTTGTTGACCACCAAGGGACATAGACATGCTGATCAGGCTAACTGAAAGTAGCTATTCAGCCCTAGCCCAAACAATAGGCCTAATCAAGACCCAACGATAGGGAATTTAGAAATCAATGGGCCTCTTCACCATAGGGGCGTGACTAACCATCCCCACCCAGTCCTCAAATAGGCCACGCTCAGCTTTTTGGCACAGAGCAATTTCCCGGAGTCTTCACGGAGACTTCAGGGTTGTCTACCGCTGACGAAGCTTCTGTGAGAGAAGCGAAACGTCCTTTTTGTTTTTTGTTTTTTACCCACAGGTACAGATGACGACTGACAGAACCCTTTCTACGAAACAAGCCCAAACGTAATGACAGCCAATCAATGTCCGCTTCAGGCTGTGACTGAGAGTTGTTTCCCCACCCTCAACACCTCGAACACAGGAAGCTAACACATAAAAAGTGATATCATAAAAAGGCAACCCACCTACAGAAACAATAAAATTAGAGATTAAAATTAAGATTAACGCGATTAAAAAAACATGACGTGCTAAATATGACTGTAATTAATTATTCGCAGTTAACGCGATAAATTGACACCTCTAATTTCGGTATATGAATTATTTACACATTTATACAGTGTGTGCATTACGTCCATGCGTGTGTGTGTGCACGGTTGCATGTGACAAATGTTTTTTTCTTTTTCTTTCTTTCTTTGCTGCATTTTTTATGTCAGAAATACGTTGACCAAGTACATCACTGTAAAAGATACTAAAATAACTTTTTGTACAAATATTTGAAGCATAATTTACGATCGTACTGTGGGCTGTTTGTCTTACTGTTTAGAGTGGAGGTCTGGTGTTGCTGGTCATCTCATCCTGTCAGATGAAGACTTAACATCCGTGGTCCAAGGCAATTGGAAACGTCTCAACACCCTGCAGCACTACAAGGTCAGTTCTTGCACCCAATTATGCTTCATCGCAAGTGAGAACACGAGCTAATGTGTGTTAAAGTGTTAATCATGAATGCTAACATTATATTTTGTGCTGCACTTAAGGTCCCAGATGGTGCAACAGTAGCTCTGGTCCCTCGGCACACGAAACACATTCACCATGACAACCACGACTATGTGGCTGGAGAGAGTGAGTGAGCTTTGTAGTCCAAATTGACCTCCGAATGTGTGTGTGTGTGTGTGTGTGTGTGTGTGCGTGTGTGTGTGCGTGCATGCGTGCGTGCGCGCGCGTGCGTGCGTGCGTGCGTGCGTGCGTGTGTGTGTGTGTGTGCCTGCATGCGTGCGTGCGCGCGCGTGCTGCGTGTGTGTGTGTGTGTGTGTACTTTGCACACTAACCTGTCATGTAGGTTTTGCTTTGGCTACATCTAAATGATGCCAGTCGATGCCTCCTCTCGTCAAGTCAATCAACTTCATTGTCAAATATGCTCTGTGTGAAACATACAGCACAGATGAAATTTCTTTCCTCTCAACCACAGTGCAAACACAGGAGAGAGAGGAGCCGCTGTGGGTACCCGCGCAGCCATCAAGAGAACAGTTAACATAAAATGACAAAATAATACAACACATAAGACAGACAGTCATGCGATCTTAACCACTTGCCTGCATACGCTTTGTTGTTTGAAGCAGTTCTCGATGAAAGAGGAGAGAATCAAAGTGTCCTTTCACCAGTGGATTAAAGGCATCATGCTGAAAACGGGCACACGTCTGCTACAAGCTAAGTTTGAAAGCAAACAAGAAGCTGTAGCATCCATTGACGAAAAAGAGATAGGCTCACATCTCCTGTCCCATGTAAATCCGCTTCAATTCCAAGCGGCGATCGCCTCCCAGTTCCACATACGCATCGGCGCTCTGCGCTGACGCTCCTTTCTTCTCATCATCGGCTCCACAAGCCATCCATCCATCCATCCAGTCGCAGACTGTCCAACAGCACCGAAATTTCCGCTGAACAAAGCGGGGCTGTGAAAAATGCTGCCCATTTCAGGCGCAAAAAACACAAGCGCCCCGGGGCTCTATTTCTAGCTCACTTGCGAATAAGTCAGACATTGAGTAATTTATATAATTTCCACATGTCTTATTCTTAATCACTAATTATCCACTTTCTATGTTAGAGGGAAAGGCTAAACATGAGTTCATGTAAGCCTGACAGTCATGCATTTAGGTAATGCCAGGTACAATTTATCGCCACCTATTTGCAATTCACCTCATTTTTTTCCTGTGGAATTTGCTCACGTGTTACTCAGAGAAACAGTTTCAAAACTTGCTTTTTTATCGTGCGAGTCGAGCCCTTTCGCAAATACCAAAGTTACTCAAATAAGACGCCCCCCCCTTACAAATATTTATAACTGCCTATAGTAGGTAGTTTTAACAACAAAAATGCTGCAAACTACTGTCCCAAAACACTTAAGTCATTTCAAACTCTTACCTTACAAATTGTCTTGTTTGATTTTGGGGAAAAAAAGCATAGAAAATGCATTAGTGCATTCACACTGAGAGAAGATGCTCCATTACTTACCCATGAGAATTTAGCTTCTCCCCAACATACAAAGCCATCTGTCGGACATTGGTTTTTGTACTCTTTCTACAACTTCTAAGTAGGGACAAGATGGTCCCAAAGCTTAGTCGTAATTTGTGTCGAGGAAGTATATTGAATTGAGCTTTCCTGACTGACAAGTGACTTTGTATGTTGGGGAGAAGCTAAATTTTTAAACTGAATTTATGGAGCATCTTCTTTGAATGTGGGGGGAAAAGAAGAATTATTTGAAACATTTTCACTGTGACAGAAACGCCGATGTTGGAGGATGCAGATGAAGGCGGTGTAAGACTCTGGCATCTGGTGAAGGCCAACGAAGAGCCCGAGCTGCCCAAACATCGCAGGGGCAGTCTGAGGGAACGAGAGCGCGCCAAGGCCATACCAGAGATCTACCTGACTCGCCTGCTTTCCATGAAGGTACACACAGGCTGCTGCACAAATCCTACAGGAGTTCCATAAATGTATGTCTGCTTTCTGGTGTTGACATTTCTCCATTTAAATAATTCACAAGAGCAGTAAGTTCTTTTAATGCCAGAACAGGGCTTCCTAAGTCTGGTCCTCGAAACTCCAATTCGGCCCATTTTAGATGTCTCAGCATTAGAATTGTCTTTGTTGGCTAAGTATGTAAAACACACAGGGAATTTATCTCCGGTAGTATGATCTACACCAGTATTGGAGTAACAAGCAACTAGGATAAAGAAAGACATGCCATATAAAGTATAGAAAGACTCTCCATAATGTACAATTGTGCAGTAGTACCATCCAATGACAGCTGCGCGATAATGTGGAGAGTCATCGAGCAGAGATAAAGTGATCAGTGGTGCGGTACTTCTCATACTATGACGGTTGTGCAGTTGATGCAGAAAATCGTTGCACCATTTTTTAAGTGACCAGTGGCATTAATTCTAGTTCAACGCTGGTTGTGCAATTATGCAGAAAAGTCCTTGAGCGCTTTAAAGCAGCTGTCCCCAACCTTTTTTGCCCCACGGACCAATTTATTGTCGGACAATATTTTCAGGGATCAGCCTTTAAGGTGTGGTGGATAAATACAACAAAATAATATGATATGATCTGCATGAAAACTGTGGTATTTTCTAAACATAATAATAAACACGAATCATGACTCAAGGAACGTCATATCTGTCCACAACACTCTCTGGTCGCTATGGTAATGTTTAAACATGCCTTCAAAATAAGAAACACCACATATCCAAAGTGCATGAAAAATACGACTCACCATCGCCGCATATTATGCAGAGTGGCCTTGGTGCGTGGGAATCTCCCGTTGAGATAAATCCGTATTTTAAGTAGGACTCCTGATAGTGTCTATAAAATGCAGCCTTCTTTTTCTTGAAAGTCGTAGGCTCCTCGTCTGTCTCCTGGCCTTTTCCCCTTCCCAAAGACCTTTGTTTTTTACTCATTTTGCTCGCTCCTGGGTTTCATTTTAACCAGGTGACCGAGAAGCGCACCTTGACCTGCGTCAAATGTGACATACTGTAGACGGATTTCACAGAAAATCCAGCATTTTTTCAAAATAAAACATCTTTCAGATTCCGAACTTAATAAAACGGAAGTAATGTATGTCAATTATTCTTGCTCTGCGGCCCGGTCCCAAATGACCCACGGACCAGTGCCGGTCGATGGCGGGGTTTGGTGGCCGCTGCTTTTACGTGTCGAGTGCTGTGGAATATTGATCAACGACAATGATCACTATGGTCATACTGTCCCGCAGGGGTGTGCAAAAATGAAAAGATGCAAAGTAGTAGTAGTTGGAGTGAACGCTGGCGTTGTCTGGCTGCCGCTGCTCACCCGCAACACATTTTTAACGTTTTTACGGTTTTACTGTCGCCAATTTATTTTTGATCGTCAACCACTATCGGATTGTTTTTAATCACGCTGTCACAGCGTCCTACCTTTTCGGATCTCAGACGAGGTCCCGTGCCATCTCCACCCCTATATACCTCATGACGGGGGAAATCGGGGCCTTTGTCTGGGCCATACTAATTTGGACCATCCTGTCGCTCGTCCATCGACCTATGGAAGGACTACTTCGGTACTCAGCGGGAGAACTTCTCGGGCTCCGCTTTCAGTGGTTGCGCTTTCCACCTGCGCTGCACCGCTTCCCGGACATCGTTCTTCGTCCCTCCTGGAAATACATTCACCGTGGGTCTCGTCGGGGCTTCTACCTGGATCGATCCGAGGGCATCACCTCCTTCTGGTCATCCTCCCGCCGGCCACGCAGAAAACACGGCC